GAACAGAATTACACACAGGCTCTATTAATCAGACAATGAATATAATCGTGTTCTTGGGGAGCAAAAGGTGGCGTTCGTATCGCGTTCCGGGTGTCGTCTCTACGGATGCAAGATGCTCATCTACATATTCGACTAAGTTCTAGGTGAAAATTCGTTGCATTCATAGGGATATATGTTTCCTGGTATACGCTAAAACGTGTATCATATAGATGTGTACGTGTGAAAAGGGTACAAGTACACCTGTGTGACTGCCACACGTATACTTGCGTCTTGATGGTGTAACGATGCATCGTATGTATGGATTGTATAAATATATATATATATATCGAATAAGGGAATCGTTTCGTATACAAATATACACACATGTAGTAAATATTCATACTTGGTATTTTGGAACGTTGCCTTTTCATTTAAATCGAGTTAAGATCGACGCGTTCCCATTTTCACGCTGGATGTATGAAAATATTTCGAGGATTTTCGTCGCAAGAAAAAAATGAGAAACGATGGTTCTTTTTTTTTTTTTTTCTCTCCAAAAATTCTCATTTTTGTCGTTCCAAAATGGTATGAATAGACAAGACAAGTAGGAAAAAAAAAAAAAAAGTAGGGGCACGGGTTGCGTGTTCTCGCATTTCGCCGGTTTCTCGTTGGTAGAAGAACAGAGGCGGTACAGAGTGATCAGCAATACTAAACGCACAATAATCATTCGTCAGGCACTATTCGTCAGTGGACCTAAACAGTTGTTACGCGATACGGTTACACGATATGGACGATATATTATAGTTCCCTCCTCCGTTTCGATTTTCATATCCAACGAATTTTCGCGAGGAAGATTTAGGAAGATAATTCGGCCGAATTAAAAATTTTTCCAACGCGACGCACCGATATTGCTACACGGATAAACAAAAAAATTCGAGGATACTTAAAAAAAAAAAAGGAAAAAATAAATAATAAAATTCTTCCCGGATCTTATAAAAATTTGAATTAAAAAATTTAATTCCTTGGAGAATCTTCTCGTTTGTATTTCTCCAATTATACATGCATATAGAAAATTACAAAATTAAAATTGCATCAATCAACCCAACAATTCAACGATGCGAATGCAAATTATAAATCGAGGATTAAAAGGAGAAAAAAAAAATTAATTTTTCCTCGTCCTAAAATCCAATATATATATATATATCGATTCGTAAATGAAGAGAGAGAAAGAGAGAGAAAGGGATAGAGAGAGAAAAAAAACAAACTGATGAAAATGAATGAATATGATCGACGATTCCTCGCTGACTCCACTTTCTTTAACATCATTGCACGATATCTTCTACTACTTCCTTTCCACGTGTCAAAAGAGACACTTTCACCAATCGAATTTTTTACTTTTTTTTGGGGGGGGGGGGGAATAATATGCGTTTCGAAGCTGACATGACTCTGACATGATCGTCGACGAGGAGAAAACTGCTTGAGTCCACTGTGACGACGATTCGCGTTACCCAGAACTTTTGAATGCTGATATCCTCTTTTAAATTGTATTAAAAAAACAGGGAAGAGGGGGGGGGGGAAGAAAAAAAAGAAAAGAAAATGGATACGATCGTCGTTCTAAGAGAGAGAGACATTAACACGATGCAATTTCTGGATAACACAGTCCTTGCAGGATATGAGGTGCGAGCCAAGAGTGCATCGACTATGAGGTACACGACGAAAATGTGAAATGAGAGTATTATCATGATTATTTATTAAATAACTCAAGAGCAAGCGAGGATGAAATTTGTCGAATGAGCGACAGAGAGAGAGAGAGATTTGATCGTGAGGATTGTTTTTCTTTTTTTTTTCGAGAGAGAGAATCAAGAAGAATAAATTTCACCTCGCTGCTCGGGTGTCGCCCAATTATTGCAGGGATAAACGCAACTTAATGGCTCTCTAATTCGTTTGGTGCAGGAATATGATATACGGTGCTTCACCTCGTGGATTATTCCATTTTCAGAATTTCATCTCGCCTTCATCTTGATCGATTACATATAACTTAAACGAATACCATTACAATAAATACTTCTTTAAGAAAATGTGGAGAGAAATTGTACGAGGCGCTGTACACTGATCTTATTTTATCGAATTAAAAGTTCCTTTTCCTTTTTTTCCATCCAACGCATCGCGTATTTTCATCGCGTAGAGAGAAGCTTAAAAGAGAGGATGGATACCATTTAAAAACGAATATAGAAAAAAAAAAAAAAAAAAAACAATTTACATTCCTTTCGAAGAAAAAAACAAATACAGAAAAGTATGTAACGCACAACAGTTATTTCCCTTCGAGGCAAAATTTAGAAAGAGACCCCATTGTCGACCATTTTTTTCCTCCCCAACTTCGTTAAGTATCCTTTACCCTCTACCTTTTTCCTTTTTTTTTTTTTCTTTTTTTTTCGTCCACCGAAAAAACTCGAGCTCGTCCACCGAAAATCAGTGCGTAACACCTCGGGTCCCTTGGTTAAGCCGCGCCATTGTCGACCACGGCTCGTAAACACTCGCGTTTGTCCCTCGGGAACAAAGAGGGATAGGGAATTGTTTGAACTCGAGTTGTTGAAGGGAGATAGTGGGTTTCTTAATAAGCGAAATAAAAGTACGCGGTTGGCCACGTCGTGAAGCACCTCTTGAAAAGAACGAAAGGGCTGATGAACAGAGAGATCCTTTATATAAATACATATATATATATATATGTATATGTATACATATGTATATACAAGAAGGAGAATTTATTACCAAGAAAACATGGGATGAAGAGACGAGATGGGTATTCTTTTTATGGGTTATGAATTCTTATGGGGAGAAAGATACATACGTATATATAATATAAATAAGGTAGAGAAAAAGACAGAATTATGTAGAAAGTCGTAGAGAAAGAGAGAGAGAGAGAGAGAGAAAGACAGAAAGAGATACAAAATGGAGGGACATGTAATGGTGGTTAAAAAGAGACAGAGGGAGTGTGTGTCAGAGAGAAAAGAGAGAGACACAAGGTGGAGGGGGTTGGACGTAAAAATTTAACGGGATATATAAAAGTACTGTCTGTCGTGGTCCATGAAGCGCTGAAGAGGGCCGGAGGTACTTACCCTGTGCATCATACTTACTGGAAAAGTTCCTCGTCGCCAACATCGTCGTCAGAATAGCGCCCTGCGGACAAAAAAAGAATACAGGCCACGGATTATTCTCTGTTGCGTCTTAATCGAGGAGAAGCAAGAAATAACGACTGTGTCGTTCAAATTCTTGGGGGGAGGGGCCAAGGAATCCGTGGCTAGCATAAGACATATTGGACGAAATGAAAGTTAATCGCGCGAGAATGAGCTTGCTTCCTTCTCTGTCGTGGCTTTTTTTTTTCCCCTCAGTTTTTTATTCGTTCGTCATTTATTTCTCGTTATATCTCTGATTTTCTTCTCTCAAAATTTCATTTTTTTCTTTTTCGTTTATATTAATAAAATTATACTTTTTTCTTTATTGCACTTTATTATATCGCGTGCTATAACTACAAGGCAATGTATATCCTTCAATTTCGCGTTTCTCTTGAGAAACTTTATCAAGATGACACGTTAAAACATGATCGAAACGGTTCTAAAATAACGCGATATAAGCATGAACGCCATTTTCAATGCTTTGAGAAACACGAGAGAACGAACGAAATCCAATAGTAGGAATACTCGTAACCCGATCTCTGGCTGATAATCGACGATAAATTTCGCCTTTTTAATTACGCGAAATTTTTTGAGAAAAACAAAAGAAGAAGAAAGCATTAAACAGCCCCGACTATTAATTTCATCCTCGCGCAATGATTTATTATTACGAACTCCAATCGTGTTATCACGATTCTAATTATATGCAAAATTTATTTCGAATAATTCTTAAAGAAGGCCAAAAATTTTAATATTCTAATAATAATAATTTTATCTGTCACATCTTTACTTTTATAACTCGTAACGTAATACGAGAAAAATATTTCAGAAGAGTATCTACGTTTTCAGATACGCTACTTTAAATCGTAGATTAACGTTCGAATGAATCGAAGTTCAGATAATTGAAATTCAAATAATTCCTACTCTTCCAACATTGAGGAAAATACTTAAATCGACTCATCGATATCACTAACCCTCTCTCGCGAGTCGAATCGTCCAAAAGAGAAACTTCAAAGATTTTCGAATATTGCGAATAATACTGGATCACGACTGTTTCTCGAGCGGCACACGTGTACACACGCACGAGGCGCGCACACGAACGAAACTGGAGCCTCGTTCAGCTCAGCTTCTTTGTACGTGGCTGATGGCACTTCCGGTCGTCGGTATTGCACGTTATTACGTCGGCCGAACTTTAGACCCTCTCGATCTGTCTGCGACGACAATTCCTTACGCCCGAGGCGTATTTCCACCTTCTATTCCAAAGGTGAACACGGATGGAACACGAACGGATTAATAATTTGTCCCATTTATAATTCTCTCTCTCTCTCTCTCTCCCCGTTGTCTTTTATCTATAAATTGAACATTATATTCTCTCGTGTTGCCACGCGATATTGCATCGAGATCGCGTCCTTCGTGGCATTGAAAGATAGATAAAAGAGGCGGATAATACACGTTTGTATTATTCATCATTATTAGTATTATTATTATCATCCGAGTTGTGCCAGATGGGCCTCTTTTATTATATGCGCGTGTTTATTTCCAACTCGATACACGCTTCGATTATTTCAATTTATTACAGAAAATTGAAGATGGAATATCGAGGTTTCTTCTCTTTCTTTTTTAATCGCTATTGCTCGTGATTGTACAGATGTAGAAAGGGGGATATCGATCGTCCTTCCGATTTCTTTATTTTTATTTATGAGGAGAGTAGTAAATGAGATTACTCGTTTATTCTCTCTTCGCGTAGAATTCGCGCTTGCTCAACGTGTTAAGTCTTTTTTAAATATTCTACGTTTCAGTAATATCATTCTTGTAAACTCCCTTCGTTCAACGCAGATTTAAATTATTAAAATAAAAAGAAAAGAAAATGTGTAAAAATAAATCGTTGTACCACTTTGTTTCGTTCGAATTTAGAATTACTCTTTCAAAGAAGATCCTCAGGATGTAATATAATAAAGATGAAAACTTGATATATATATATATATAAAAAGAGATTCGTTCCATTCTGTGGAATGCAACGATGAATATTTCGATATTATATTCTCTCTCTGAATTTTTTTCTTTTTTTTTTTTTGATATCCACGTATGCGTAACAATTGACCTTGAACGATATTGTAAATGACCTTCAACTATATTCCTCGCGTTTATTCACGTTTATTCGAATAACAATGAAGAAACATGATTTATCCTTATACACAACTTCTTCCTCTTGCAGGAAAAAGAAATTTCACAGATCGATACACAATCCGATCCTTCGATAATCTTAAACGAAATAACGAGTCAAGTCTCTCCATAACGAAAAGTGAACGTAAGTAAATATACGTATATTTATTCGCGCGAATCAAACAACGAAATAACAAAATTAGATTGAAATCACAGCGAAGGGACGAATTCCTTCGAAAACGGATACGCGTAGAATTCGCGGCAAATACGAACGAGGCAAAGCAAACATCGCTAATAAGAGCGGCGAGTCGATACATCGCGTCCGACGTTATCGGTCGAGCATCCAGAAAATATTTACGACAAATATTTGCCCGCAGAACAATCGATTTCGATTAAAGGCGTGTTTCTATTTTCGTAACACGCGCCGTCACACGCGGCGTGTATTTAAATTTCGAATATCAAAATACGGTAATGGAGGCCCTCCCCCTCCCTCTCCTCCTCCATCTTCCCTATTAAATATTCATGCACAGAACCGTGCACCGTCTTCTTACAAATCGTAAGGCTTATCACGGTCCGCGTGCGTGATAAACGAGAAATCAATTCCTTCGTTAATTGGAACAATTTCCACGGATTAACTCGATGGAGCGATGCGTGTGTGCCTTGATTCTTTTTTTTTTCTTTTTTTTTTTATTTCTTCTATTCAGTGGCGAGTACATTTCGAGCAAAAAGTATTGGAGCAGTCGTTGCAAACGAAACTACGTTTCAAGATTAATTTTAATGGATTGTGATACGCATGGAAAATATTACATTGGAAATAATCTGTTGAAACGTGTTTAAACTCGCATTGATTATTTCAAGTATTACTTTTTTTGCGTAAGAAAAAAAAAAAAGGAAAACTAGAAACAAATTCATTTCTGAAAAAATAAATTTCTTCTCATTATCTTTATCCTTGTATTTTATGATTAAACGACGAATAAAACTTGTTCAATTTTTTTTTTTTTTGTATCTTTGAATTGGAAATTGTATTTATTCCAGATTGTTCTTTACGAAACATTCGAGATTGGTAAATGTTAAAGTATGAAACTATTAAATTTTCCATGCAATTATACACACGCTTTATTTTCCTCTGCGTGTGTACGTATTCTGTGATTCTTTTCTTTTTCTTTTCTTTTTTTTTTTTTTTTTTTAATTCATGAATAAGCATATACACATTCGTTAAATTAACATTCTCCCTCGAAGCGAGATACAAAAGAGATATTAATTGTAAAATATTCGCGAAACCGTGAATACAACGTATGCACAGAATTGTATTAACTTTTACGTAAAGCAATTATTTCGGTTAAAGTGGAAAGCAAATGTGACATTTGAATTACAGAAGCGTATTATAACTCTTGTCGAATGTTGTCGATCCATGAATTCTGCCGATTCTTCGAAAATAAAACCACAAATTTCAAATTTTTTTCCAATTTCATTTCGTTCGCCCGTGCGTATCGGTATTTCGAAACAACAATTTCGCTCGAAACGCGCGTAATTTAATATGTAAATTAGAGGAACATATTTATTTACTTCTCGTCGAAGAAAAAAAAAAAAAAAATTCCACGAAATCCGTAAACTGAAATTTTCTTTCCAAACAAAAATTTTCGCATTATAAATCGTGGACGCATACGCACAAACATTCGCATTAATATTTTTCCTGGAAACGGAAAAATTTCCATCCCGCGTCATCCATCGAAAGAGAAAAAAATTCTTACCAAAAAAAAAAAAAAACTACTTCTCTTTCGATCTCTCGACGACGCGTGAAAATCTTCTAAAAGCAATTTCTTCCTTCCTCGTGAAAGGAAAACAGGGGAAGGTTTGGAGGATCTGAACGCGAAAACAAAAATATCGGTTGAGGTTTATTTATCAAGGCGTCGTTAAAAAACCTCGATATAATTGAACAGAATATAAGCTTCGATCTTTAGAATAATGTAAACGCGTGAATATATTAACGTTTTGTCTTAAGTGGTAAGGAAAAAGTAGATTACAAAAAGGAAGGGAAGGAGTCTTGGTTACGGAGGATTGGTTCGAGTGTTTCTTTTTGAGCAGTGAAAAAGGGGGAAGATGAAATGGAATCGCTGTGTTCCAGTTTCGACAATTCTCGTGACGATTGAACAAACTCGTGGAAAGGGGTCGTTTAATAACCCTTGTTTCAAGCTAAGAACTTGCCTTTTCCTCGTCACATTTCTTTAACGTTTCAAGTTTGAAGATCGTTTCGTAGAAAATTAAAAACGAAGCATTCGATCGGTCGTTTTAAAACAATTTTTAGTTTTTGAAATTTTCCATCTTCCAGGAACTTTAGCTTTTTTTTATCACACGTCTTATGTTAATCGTTTCTCTTTCAATTTTTCTCTCTTTTTTTTTTTAAATTTTAAGATGGAATTAATGATTTGTAAAAGGATAAATGTACCTGGAATGGAAAGATGGCTTCCTGTTGCCTGCACAATCCGAATTTATTCTTCAATGCTTTCATACTTGACACACTTCTCGGCACACTTTCTCCTCGTTTCGATAAAATTTCAACTCGAACAATTTTTTAATCTCAATTACACACGATTTCTATTGTATTTTACGCTAAAAATCACAAGATAGCAATGGTAATAACGGCGTAATAATCTCTTGGAATTTGGAAATAATTGGGAATAAATTAGAGAACCGATCAATTATTATAATTTCCAACGTTTACACAATAACTTTCCCAAATTGAACAAATAAAATAATTAAAGAAGAAGAATAAGGAAAACTCAATCAATTATAATTCAATTGCCAATTCCCAAATTGACAACAATGACAATCCACCATTGTTTCATTATACCTAATTATACTCCTATCCTAAGCAAAGAAACCGAAATAGTATAACGGTCTAATTACCAATATCCTAACCACCAAGTCGTACAACAACCATTTCATTAAACGAGATCGCTCTCTCGTCGAGCTATCACCGGTCACGAAATCATTATTAATGCCATCGAGGGAACGCGTTTCCTTAATTGAACCACCGTCACGAATCACCTTAAGAAGTAACGCACGAAAAACTTTGCCAAACGTTTCGGCCATCAAATTCGAGCGTTAATTACGTTCGGTTTAATGGAACGATCGCGTGATCGATAAGATGGAGAACGGAAAAAAAGGGTTCGAAGGGGATGTTATTCGCACGTACGAGGATTATTAGTGATTGTTGGCCAATGTTGTATAACTTGGAATCTTAGAGAACGCGATGATGGCGAGGCGAAGAGAGATTTAGATTTAATATTTAAAGCAACGTGTTTAATATTCGTCCATTTTTCACAAATTCACGGATTAGAGAAATATCAGATTTCTAAATATGAAAAATAAGACGACGAAGAAGAATTAGGAATTTAAGAGAAATAAAAATGATGATCGTTCGTTAAACACGAAATTTATAAAATTATAAAGAAAACTTTAATTAGAGAAAATCTGTCTATGGAACGAAATATTTAATGACAAAGATAACGAAATAATGACCGCTCCCTCGATCAAATAAATTGCTAAACTACCACGTCAATTATTACCATTATCGTATCTGTATACATAAAAAAAAAAAAAGAAAAAAAATAATCAAACGAAAAAGAATTACGAGCTGTGTGAACGAAATAAATAAAAAAAAAAAAAGAATCACGTTTTAATCGACACTTGAATCAAATTTCGCGCCTCCTTTGCACGAGATCAGAAATACGATCATCGAGGTCGAACGAAATTTCACCGATCTCGATTAATATTCAACGCAACACACACAACGATCCACTCAACGAATAACTATATCATTTTCATTCGACGTGATTGCCGCTACGATTCCGCCAGCAACGTCCGTGGAAACGTACCACGCACACGATTCGAGCGATACTGCTCGCAACAGTTGGAATCGCGATAGTCGAATCAAGAGAGACGTTAGGTAGGGGAATAAGAAATCCAAATCAAAGAAGGGGCCACTTCCAATTCTCGCGAAAGTGTTTTGGAGAAATATATCCAAATCGATTTCAATTTCCTTTTTCTCCGTTTAAAAATTAGAAACAAATTTTTTTTGTGGAATATTATTCACCTGTTAATAATATAATTATATATATGGAAAGGATTGTGCGCTTTTTTATATATCTAAATAATTATTTTATCCATTTCTAATTTCTTCTCGTGGATCTAGTAGATTTGAAATAATAATCTTTTTTCTTTTGAAAAGCGTAAAATGATCGAATATTAGGAATAATTTTAAATATCGAGATAACAATCGAATCAGAGGATTGAAATCTGAAACAAGAACGAAATACGTACGAGTGTGGATAGGAAGATGGATCGATTGTTCTCTGCCAATGATAAAAGAGGAAAATGGCCAGATAAGGTGAAAGACAAAGCGAACTCAATTTCGAGTTTCCTCTGACCAGTTCACCACGCAGTTCTGCACAAGGTATAAATGGGAGCCGATGGTTAAACGCTAAACATCGGTTTATCTTGACAGAGGCCCATACCGACTATAGATCATTTAACGGGCTGGCGCACCTTAACACTCGACGTCTCGAATCGAAACTTGCGTGTAACTAGTTAACCGGAGTTCCGCTACAACACGTTGCCCGGCGAATTTCCGTTGTTAATCGAGAAACTCGCGACACCGTTCCATTCCACCCTCTAATTACTGCTCCTTCGTGGACACAGCCCTGTAATATTATCGTTTTATTCAACGCTCGTGCTGCTATTCGTGATAGAAATTGATGGAAACGTGAACTGATCCGTTGTTTCGTATTTTCATTCTTTCTAAATCTATCTTGAAAAGTAAATTTTATTACGATATAAAATCCGCGATTGCGGATTTTATCAATTATCTGGAAAGGGATGCTCTGGAAGGGGAAAGAAAGAAGGTGAAATTATTTTAAATTGAGAAGGATTTTTTGTATCAATTTAAAATCAGTGGAGCAATACTCTTTCTATTAAACGTTATTTATCGCGTGATTTGCTTCAAAACTCGATTAAACTCTATTAAAAAAATTAAGAAAACTTTGAGCCGCTGTAACTTCGAAGATAATCACTTCCGGTAAACGAGTGAACGATAGTTAGAAGCGCACAATCTTGCTCTTTGAAATGCTTTTTTATTTATTCCGATACGACTTCTAGTTTCCAAGATATCATCGTACAAGCAAAAGGGTAATTTTAAATCGTTTACCTCAAATCCGATTAAAATTAAGAAAATTTTAAACCGCTATAACTCCCAAGATAGTGACTTCCGGTGGACGAATGAACGATCGTTAGAAGCGTTGAACCTTCCCCTTTAAAACGCTCTTTCGTTTATCCCGATCCGACTTCCGGTTCCCGAGATATCATCGCGCAAACAAAAGGGTAATTTTTAATCGTTTGCCTTGCCCTCGATTAAAATAAGGAAAACTTTGAACCGCCATAACTCCGAAGATAACGACTTCCGGTGGACGAGCGAGCGATCGTTAGAAGCGGGAACCTTCCCCTTTAAAACGCTCTTTCGTTTATCCCGATCCGACTTCCGGTTCCCGAGAAATCGTCGTGTAAAGGGAAGGGTAATTTTTAATCGTTTACTATTTCTATCCTTGTCTCCTACTCGGATCTCTCGATCGCACCTCGTCTCACGCGACCTATCCCAAAGTCCAGACGAGCGACAGACGCGATTCTAGGAAAGATACGTAGTACGCATTTCCAGGAAAAAATGTGGGTCACTGGGTCGCGGACCCATTCATTATTTTTATAAACCGTATGACCACTTTGAATCCTTGTATCTCGGCAACGAATTGAGATATCGGGATAAAACAAAAAGGGACTTGAATGGCACGGTTTCCACTATATTTCAAGCGGATTTTGACGACAAAATTTTTAGTTTCTTCTCACGTTTTTTTTATATGAAAAATCAAAGTTTCATTTGTCCTTTTACAATCGTAAATGCAACGGTTCGTTATAATGATATAAAATATAATAAATAAGGATATAATTTAACATGTGCTTTTTTGATATAACTTGACATATTTTCTCTCTGTTGATTGAATATTTTATCTACGTGAAAATCAACGATCCAGATAATAATAATTAAGATTTTATTATGCGATTATCGATTAAGGCGAAGAATGGAATAAGAGTACGTTAATAAAAGCAAGCTAATTTTCGAAATTCTTTGAAAAGAGGATGAAAGTGATCTTACTTTTAATTTGCGCCTTGCGTTGAATTTCTTCAAGCAATCCACAGTCTCTTGTCTGTGGACAACGGACGCGACACGTTCACGTTGCTGGAACACAAGAAGAAGAAGAGAAATTGTTACGTTGATCATCGAAGACGTTTTTCACGTGATAGATAGATAGATAGTTTCACGAGATTGATTTCACTTACGCAGATCCATGGGTGCTTCAATGCCTCGCTGGCGGTGATCCTTTTGCTTGGGTTCACCGTCAGCATCTGATTGATTAGGTTCTTGGCTTCCGGCGTGACGGTGTCCCATTCTGGGCTTGGGTACTGCGGCAATAAATTGAACGAATGATTCGTCAAACTCGATCGATTTGCTCCTGATCTTTGAGAAATTATATATTATTTTATTCATAATATAATTTTATTCGAATTTCGATCGATCCAAATAATTTATTATAATTTTGAAATTTAATCAAAATAACATCGTTGTCGAGAAAATTAATAAACGATAATAAAAAAGTCGATCGAAATCGGGGAAGATATTTCTTGGGGAATCGAGTCGGTGGAAGCAGTTGATTCTTACGTCGTACGATCCGGCCTTGATCTGCGCGTACAATCGATGCTGATCCTCGTCCCAGAATGGCGGATAACCGACCAGAAGGATGTAAAGAATGACACCGCACGCCCAGATGTCGACTGGCTTGCCGTATGGCTCTTTCTTCAGGACTTCCGGGCTGAGGTAACCGGGCGTCCCAGCGAAACCTTTTTTATTACCAGATTATCAGAGGTCACTCTCCACAGAATACGTGTATTTTTTTCGTTGAAATATCGGAGCGGTATTTTCTTAATTGTTTCTTTTTACAACAACGATTAAAATAAATTGCAATATTTACTTCCTTCGTTTTTTGATAATTGATAAAAGTAATATTTTTCGTGGGATAAAACATTTTATTTTACAGATTTGTCATTGTAAGAAATTTGAATATTGTACTTACAATATTTCAAGAGAATATTGGTGAAATTTTAGCAAAATAATTTCGAAGATAAGTGACTATTTTGTAAATATTTTCCATACAAATACAAATTGTATCACGAGATACTAAGTGGAAAAATTAAAAAAATTTCGCTTGAATGAAGGAAACGATATTTTTTTCTTAACGATGTTCGGATGCAGCAGCTCGGAAAAAAAAAAATTCTAAAAAGAACAGAAAAGTTTTAGACGAGAAAATTTCGGTTCGCAACGAGGGAAATCGGTGGTAATTTCCCGAGAATAGAGAAAATCGAAGCTAATCTCGTTGCTATCTACATTCTATTCTCGAGCCACAGAGAGTCGGCCATTACGAAGCGTTGCAACTTTCTACGATCCAAGTTTCGAATTTGCCGCGTATGCGATGCGGAAACCACGGCCTCGGCCAAGTCAGAGTGTCGAGGGAATTTCGAGCTGTCGAGAACGGAAACGAACATCAGCTAGTTTCAAACTGATAGACGAGCCGAGGATGATGAAAAGGTTGTTCCACAGGCTCTCAGACATCAAAATCATTTCGATCCGTTGATACATTCAATTGTATTCCTTAAGAGAAGATATAATCTTTTAAATATCATTTCAAATTCTATCTATCGAATACGAAAAAGAATCTGTCCAACTCGAATATATTTCTCGTCTGTAATCAAAGATTACAAAATAACGAAAAAGAATCCAATATTTAAAAAAAAAAAAAAGAAAAAAACAAAAACTATCGAACCAACGAAAATAAAATGCATACAATTTTCACACTCGTCTCGAACAATTCTCTGCTCCCTTTTCAATTTTCCCTCTTCTTTTTTTTTTCTTCTTCTTCTTCTTTCTCGAAAAAAAGTCTCGCGCGAGAAGACTATTCGAACTGCGCATCGTCTCGACCTCGATTGTTAGAGCCGTGGAGGAAAACAGCATTCAATTCTGCCGAACAATATGGAGGAATCTCAGAGGGCGAGGGAGCACAGATTTTCCGGTTTGATCCGAACGGTTCTTTGACCGCAAACACAATACGGAAAATCTCCCAAGGGTGGGGAATCTATTTTGCCTGCGAAAACGCGGAAACTTTTCCAATAGCACGAGGGGGAAGAAGGGAGGGGAGGGGAGGGACTTCCTACTTTCCGCAAAGTAAAAACAAACGAGAACACCCGGTCGAGGCAGGCGTTGACGACACGACGTCGTTCCACGGGGTGTTCCATAAATGTGTAGGAAATGCGTAGGAAGTCGAGGTGATTTCGACCAATTTTTTTCGAAAACAAAATTTTCCTTTCGACTTTGTTAAATTATTTGACGAGATTGAAAGATTGTAGTGTTGGGTACGTACTGCGATCGAGTTCGAACAAAACGAGTGGGAATTCATCAAGTAAATTGTCGAATCGAGGAAGAATTATATCATCGGTTGTCGTTCGTCTATGAATAAATTGTATATACGATTAAAAGTTAATAAGAAAATTTTCTCGAAAATTGGTTGAAGTTATCTCGATCGAAATTTCTCGATCGAGCTTCCATATTTTTGGGACACCCTGGATAAATGCACGGGAGGAAAATGGGAGGAAAACGTGGAATTCGAGCGAGCGACACAGTTAATACGAAAAATAGAGATACGAGATAAACGGGGAGAGATGAAATTTTATTTCTGGAAAACTTGTGTTCACGTGATTGCGGAAATGCAAACGGATTCTAAATAAACCGAGTCCTTGGCGATTCGTCGACCTGTAAACCAGGTTTTCTATCCTTTTACCTTTTACTATTTTCTTCTTTTTTATTCCAACGCTATTTGACATAGATTATTGAGCGATGCTAGTTGCACGAATTGAAGGGGATTCATCGTATCGAGAAATAAAAAATTTTCAAAAGAAAATGTCTCTCGGAGAGAGAGAAAGAGAGAGGGAGAGAGAGAGAAAGTTCTTAAAAAATTCAATCTTTTCTAAAATGCATAAAAAATATAATTGTAAAATAAAAAGACAAAAAGTATTTAATTCTGGAAAATTTAATTTCTTGTATACTTCTCCTTGAAAACTTCGATTCGTCGATATTTTTCGAACGGAAAAATTATGGGGGAAAAATGGAATTTATGATGGAATTTATTTTCCCTAAAAATACAAATCTATTTCTCGAACAAGGAAAAAAGGGGGAAAATAATGATATATCTATATTGATTTCGAAAAACGATATTTGCAAATTTTATAGAAATTTGTTTTTAAATAACTTCATAAATTATAAACGATATTACGTTTATATGATATCGTTGCAACCGATACTCGTCTTTCTTCTCGTAACGCGTTTTTTATTTATAATTTTCACAATAATCGCGACAATTAATTTACACAAAATTAATTAATTTATTATATAATACGACTTACTTTCGCGACGAGAAGAGAGAGAAACACGTCCGTTCCGCTCGGCGTTCGGGACACGACTCCGTTAAATCTATATTTTGATTATCAATGTCGAACATTATCGTTATCGTCTTCTTCGCCGCGAATTCGTGATAATGTTAATATTATATTTAAATCATATTTAAATTATATTTAAATCAATTACACGCGATTCATCGAGATCAGAAGTGTCGCTATAATGTTTTTACGATCGAGTAAAAAAGCCAGCATCGATTTTTCCAAATCCGCGCGTTTTAATAATTACGATGGTAGAAAAACAAAACGAAAAACGAAAAAAAATCGAAACAAGCCGATTCGATCGATTCTCGTTAATCCTCGATAATCCTCTTAATTTTTCGAACATCACTGTGATGAAATTTCCCGATTTTCACGCGATTCGTAGTAATATTAATATTAATATTTAAATCAATTACACGCGATTGATCGAGAGTAGAAGTGTCGTTGTAACGTCTTTACGATCGAGTAAAAAAAAACCACCATCGACTTTTTCCAAATCCACGCGTTTTAATAATTGTAAAAAAAATCGAAAAGCGTAAAAAAAAAAAAAACGAAACAAGCCGACTCGACCGATTCTCGTTGGCTCCGATGATTTTTCTGAACATTTTTTAAACATCACGACGAGATCTATTTTCACAATTTTCACGTGGTAATATTAATTACATCACGTAAACTGCATTCAAATCTATTAATCACGAATCTATCGATCGAGATTAAATACAAGGACTTACCGAACCATGCCTGCGCTTCACCCTGCACCTCGATCGCCAATCCAAAGTCCGCTAATTTCACAGCCGCGCCCTTCGCCTTACTTGCGAGGAGTAAATTTTCGGGCTGCAACAGGAAGCAGACTCGTCGACATTCCTGCTCACTCTTCCGACAAACCGTTGCCGTTGTCCTGCATTTTTACGCGGCCATGCTGTAGGTTGATCCACCAACAGGAGATATATACGTGCATGCTTGACACACATTTGCGGCTCTACCTTCTACGCTGCGCTGCTTTTCACTCTGTTTTTTTTTTTCTCTCTTTTTTTTCGAATCGTCTCTTTTCGTTCGCCCACGAAACGGCCACTTTTCGTACGGCCGTGTTCTCGCGTTTCTTTCTTTCTCGTTTCCTTTCCCTGTCATCTCCCGGTCGAATTGATCTTATTTCCACGATTAATTTCAAACTTTTAATTTTATATTTGGAAATTTTTCATTTGCGAAGAAAATTCTCGCAAACGCGTCGAATTTATTTTTATCTTAAGGAGGAGGGGGTGTGTGATTTGGCGCGAAATTTGAAAGGTCGAGCGTTTCGTCAATTTCGGAAGGAACGATTGGCATGAAATTTTCGATCAAATTGTTGTATCGATCGTTACAAATATACAAATATAAATTGTCAAACGTTGAATTTCGTAGTCTCGATTATAAATATAACACGAGATAGATTTCAACAAAATTCTTGCCCACTTATTGGACATTATTTTTTAATAATTCTTACAACAGTATTATTCATAAAATTTGTATTTGGTCGAAAATTTGTTGCCCAATGTTTGTCATATATGATAATTCAAACGAAGATTATAATATAAATATAAAAAAAAAAAAAAAGAAGAAGAAGACTCGGAACACTTCCTCCCTATCCATTGCTCTTTTACCTTCCTTCGACTATTCCCTCCCCCCTCTCCAATTCTTTTTCTTTTCTTTGTTCAACCCCCTCGTTCCATTCGATCAACGATCCCTAAACGTTTATCTGAAAATGTTCGGTTAAACACACTGAACCTTTGCGTTCCCGGTGTACTGGACCCTCTCAAGCATGGCGCTCTAGTTCATCCGTGTAACATTCGTTTCTCTACGTACTTTCAGGTCCCTGTGCACAACTCCATTGTGGTGGCAGTGGTGTACGCTTTCCAGGATTTGTTGGATACAGTGAGACGCGTCCGCTTCGCTGTAGAATTCTCGCGCCACGATATCCTCGAACAGTTCGCCGCCGGTCACGCTGCAAGTCGGGAATATTTTCAAGATTGAACAAGAACGATCTGTTCTGATCGAAAATCGGCAAAACATTTTTATCTCGCCCTTATATTCTTTCTTCACCTTTATTTATTTGGAGGAGAAGGTAAGAAAAAAATTAATGGAGATCTCGAAATTTTTCGAGGCGAATTTTAAGAAATATAAAAATTTAATTGTTGGAACATTAAATGAATTAATTAATGAGAGGGGATAAAAACTCGAAGGAGGAATTGAATAACTCGATGGAGGTTGCAATTAAACGTTCTATCCACGGTGATGCTTTCCACGATGGAGCATCGATGGAGCCTCGCGGCCATGCGAGCTCATTAATATGCAAATCAAGACTGATTTAAATTCACGATCAGGGGACTGTTCGAATAATTGGCCGGATGACTGGGACAAATTAACAATTATCGGGCAGAATCGCGAGAAACGGGGAAGAAAGATGAAGACGTCCGTGTAACTTTCAATGTATAATTACTTCATATATCGATTTTCGCCGATAAAATCATCGGTTAAGAGTTATTCTTATTATTCGGGCGAAAATATCTTTGATGAGTGAAACGAAAGATTATTTATTAAAGAAACTTGTAGCAGAATGATTTCAAGTACGATAATATTAAAAAATTTTAAGAAAAGGAACAAGTGCTACGATGTGAAAATCTTTAATAAATAATTGTTTCTCGGTTATAAATATTTCATACTGGAGAAATTATTCGTCCTCTTCGTGTTTCATTTTCGTAATATCAAATTTTTAACTTTTATTTTTATATATATATATATATATATAATATCACTAAATACTAAATAAATTTAATATTTCTTAAATTTTACTTACAGGTCGAAAACGAGGTAATGGTAGTTCTCCTCCTGTATGCTGTCGTGTAATCTCACTGTAACAGAAACGAAGATAAAAACCATGAATTTTTCTAAGATCGTCTAAAATCGTATCATAATTAATAACGTTAATATCTAATCATTCGTTCGAGAGAAGCAAAATTTCGAGCATTCCAACGTGGAGGACCAAAGAAGCGTGTTCAAAGTTTTTACACGCGAATTATAAAGGGGAGAATTCGAGTATCAGGAGGGTTGGATATTCGGTTTTCGAGGAGAAGCACCATGGATCGATGCACGAGCCGAGTATCATTTGCATCCGTGGCAGTTTACTCGATCACGACGTTCATTAGGGTCAACGAAGAGACATTCCTCGCGATACAAACCAATGGTCCCATCGTGGTGGAATCGGCCTTAATTAATGTCAAGTGAGGCTTGCCTGGCGCAAGCGAAAATCGACGTCTCCAAGCGTGAAACGTTACTTTATTGGGAGGGATCAATTAAATTGGTGTTCATGCTTTTCTTTCTCTTGTGAAATTGCGTTACAGAATTGCGCAAATTTTTTTGGAATTTTAGAAATTTAATTTCGACATTTCTTTAAAGATTTAAAAATCCGTTTAATTTCAACCGGGTTATTATTTGATTTCGAAATATAATCATCGTTTAGAAACTTATTAATTTCGAGACTTGGATTGTAAAAGTTTATACGGATTATATAAATTTTGTGTTTTTATAATTCATAGCTCGAATCGAATCGAAGTTATTATTCTGTCTCAAAAAAATAATTGCATTGGAGAAGATGGAAGAAGAAAGATCTACGTCTATTCGAAATTTTCAAGAAGATCTTTTATTTTTCGAAAGAAACGCGATTAAATTCTAAAACGATACGAGAATATTTTTTACCATTCTCATCGTCAAAACATCCAATCGTCGAGAATGAAATCTTAAACGCGGCCGAATCAAGATGAGTCGACGAAATACGACGAGTCGCGTAACACTCGATAAACCGAGTGTAATAAATAGTGACTGGTTGGCCGAATGGTTGGGGTCAACTTTCCTATAAATACCGAGGCGAAAAAGTTGGCGCCGTACGGGATGCGCCACGGCTGTTTATGATGGTAGTTCGAAACGCAAACAAACGATCGCGCCCAGTGTTGACGGAAGTTGGAAATTTTCGGAAAGTGTTGCGCGTTTCGACGAAATGCAATCTTGCATAAAAAAGAAAAATATCGAACGCTATTTTGCTACAATATTTTGCTTTATACAACGATTATCCACTTACGATGGTATCTATTCATTTAACGTACGCACAATTTTAATTACAATTTTTTCCATTACTAGACATTATTTATACATAAGACTCGAGAAATATTTTTCTATCGTGAAAATTGCAAAATGGATTTCCTCGCGATGTTTAAAAAATTAAGAAGATCGTCGAGGATTAACGAGAATCGGTTTGTTTCGATTTTTTTTTTTACAATCGTAATTATTAAAACGCGCGGATTTGGAAAAATCGATACTCGATCGTAAAAAATTACAACGACACTTCTAATCTCGATCAATCGAGTGTAATTGATTTAAATATGATATTAATATTACTACGAATCGCGTGAAAATCGGGAAATTTCATCACAGTGATGTTTGAAAAATTAAGAGGATTATCGAGGATTAACGAGAATCGGTCGAATCGGCTTGTTTCGATTTTTTTTTCGTTTTTTGTTTTGTTTTTTTTACCATCGTAATTATTAAAACGCGCGGATTTGGAAAAATCGATGCTGGCTTTTTTACTCGATCGTAAAAAAATTATAGCGACACTTCTCATCTCGATGAATCGCGTGTAATTGATTTAAATATAATATTAACATTATTACGAATTCGCGGCGAAAAAGACGACAACGAACGTTCGACATTCATAATCAAAATATCGATTTAACGGAGTCGTGTCCCGAACGCCGAGCGGAACGGACGTGTTTCTCTCTCCTCGCCGCAAAATTAAATCGTATTATCGTATTATTTAATAAATTAATTAATTTTGTATAAATAATTACAAGTAAAAAACGCGTGTTCGAGAAGAAACGAGTATCGATTGCAACGATATCGTATAAACGTAACGTTGTTTATCATTTTTTATAAATTTTTTATAAAAATTCCAAAAAAAAAAATTATCCAACAACAAATTATTCAAAAACAAAATTTCTACAAAATTTCCAAATATCGCTTTTCGAAATTTCCATTCAATTAACATCGAATACTCGTCTTTTCACGAAATTCGTTACACTTTTTACCCCTTTTTTTTTTTTTTTAAATAATTCGCAAGAAGAGGGATGGAAAATTTCGAAAATTTCGAGATCCATCGAGTCGGGTCGAACATCCTTCCTTCCTTCGTACATCCGTGCACGAAAAGAGATCTCGGTTGTCACGGCTCGACACCGTGCGGGCAGAATTTAATGAAAATGGAAGAGATATCGAGGAGGAGACACCACCCTCTCTCACCACCTTTCGAACGATCCTCAAACCGATCTGTTCGAGAGAGAGAGAGAGAGAGGAATAGGAGAAGGAGGCTATCTTCTTTGATACCCTCCACCGATCCAATAAGGATCAAGATCGAGGAAGGGTGTTGGAACGGCCGTTATTATGGGAATTTTTATCGGCGGGGATGGTGGCGATGGTTTCGAATCGAGGTAATTTTTCTACAAGAACTATCGGTTCTGTCGTTCAGATACGATAAATGTTGCCGAGGAGAGGCAGTTTTGACGTATCCTTTCGTGGAACGAAATCGAAAGGGGGGAGAAAACTGTGGAATTTTTCTTTTTTCTTACGTACGATCGTTTCAATCGATTTATGCAAAATTTAATTCGATTTAATTTTCGCTACTAAACTTTCCGTCTTCGTACGTATTTGTTGGAGTTTTTTAATACAAAAAGAATTTCTCCCGTTTGGATAAAATTGGATTTTAATAGGAATTTAATGCGATGTTTCTTTTGTATTTTTATCGAAGACGAAACGTTCGAAGACACAATTTTCTGTAGAATCGTGAATTTTTGTATTTTCTATCGAAGATAGAATTTTATACGCGAGTACAGGTTATCCAAAATAAATTTTGCAATTTCTATGTCTACTCTTATTGAACCGGAATTGAAATAGAAATATTTAAAGTCGAGATTCCATTTAATTTCGATCAAAATTGTTGTAAAATTTCGAGTCGAAAATCCGAGTAAATTTGATGACAAACGGAAGGAAAGAAGGAAATAACAGTGGCAAGTATCGATCCGAGAAGCCGCACATCGACGCATCGTGTCCCGAATCTACGCGTTTTCGCGATCTCGTAGCACAGTTGAACTTTCCTTCCCTTTGCCATTAAATTTCCCACCGAAATGTCACGCCTCCCTCCTCCAAGATTTATGAAATTATCGATTATCTCTCGTCTGCCGACCCGTGAAAGGTCAAATATCCCTCCCTTGATCTCGAATTCACGAGTTTCCTGTTATATTTGAACAATCGTTTTTCGAAAAAGATAATAAAAGTTCTTTAAAAAATATCTCTCGTTATAATTTTTAACGAAAGAGAACAAACAATTCTTTTTTACTTTTCGAATTGGAAAATTATCAAGAGTAAGAAATATCTTATTCTTTCTTCCTCCGAATTTAAACAAAATTAAATATACAGAGATTCGAGGCAGCATGTAACTTTCGATAAATTATGAATCTATCGTTAAACCGTTAATATTTAACGAAGACGATACACAAGAGACTTCCTGTTGCGACAAAGGAATTTTTATTCCGTATATATATATATCTCCGCATCTTAATCCCAAGAACGCCACGAATGCTACTAGAAAAATTTCAACAACGAAACGCGTATCATCGAACGAAAAAGAAGAGAGAAAAGAAATGCGAGGATTGGAAGGAAGAAAAATGGGGGAAATCGAGGGAGAAGGAAAAAGAAGAAACATGAATCGAGGTGGCAGCAAAAGAGACGAGGAAGAAGGAGGATCGATAGGTATCACTTGTTGACTGGAATGGACGTAAGCCATGGTCGGGCGCCATGATGGAAAGAGAAGAAGGTGGATAATTCATCGGTCACATCCACCTCCATGGATAGAGCCGTACGATGAATAAAAGAAACCCACCAGCCTTTATGAATTATGGAATCGACTCGACCGATTTAACCAACCTCTCCCTCCCCCTCCGTGACTTTTGTCAGTGGGATGTCGCCCTTCTAATTCACCTTTCACACCTGTTCTCTTCGACCAGAAGAAGAAATGGAATTTTTCGAACGTTCGTTGAATATATATCGATGATTATGTTAATACACGAATGTTGAAATCTGAATCGTGATATGATAGTTTCGCGAAATGTTGACGAGTCTGGTTGGAAGAGTTTAGCGATAATTGTGGATCGAGAGATAATTCGTTTGAATTATCGTGGCGATTATACGTAATGCATACGTGTGTTGAGGATTTTGGTGTAGCAGTTTTCTTATGAAATTAAACGTGATACACGAAGGACGAATTACGTTCAGTTTTGCTAAAATGTTCGAGTTGGATGAAAGTTTATTCTATTGGCAAATATACGATGAATATAAAATAAGAATTTGTCGTTTCGTTCAAATTATCATTTTGATTCTGACGCGTTAAACGCGAATTGTTAATCAGCAAACAATTCGTCAGAGTAATTCTAATCGCGAGAGTAATATTATAATACGAAATCGATCGAGATTCAAATAGAAGAGATATTAATTTCACGTGAATGAATTCTTCAAAATCGTTCCTTCGAAAGGTTTAACTTTCCGGAAAAGATTTGTTCGAGATATATATATCTAATATTTCTAAAGTAGATGGTAGCTAGTTCACGATTTGACGGAGAGGCTCGATCCGTCAAATGCGAGGAGGAAAATTGGCTGGGAAGAAAAAAAAGAGATACGAAGGAGGCACGTCGAGTATTAAATCTACGCTACTTTCGCTGCACTTTCCAGAGATTCACGGCCGTGTGTGTGTGTGTGTGTGTGAAGAAATCGGGATAAAAAAGTATCTTTTATTTTTTAATTTTGCTTCGAGATT